CTCTTGCTCGCTCTCTCTCGCTCTCTCTCTCTCTCGCTCTCTCGGTCTCGCCCTCTCTGTCTCTCTCTCTCTCTCTCTCTCTCTCTCTCTCCCCTCTCTCCCCCTCTCCCAACGTCTCCCACCCTGTAGCTCTGTTCCTCTGGCTCGCTCTCGCTCTCTTATGCGCATGTCTCAGCATGTCCCGTCGCAAGCGTTTTAGGGCATGTATGGGATCTGCAGTGGTGGATGCATGTGTGTTCCTCGCGAGGCCGTACATGGAAGCAAGAGCACCAGCTCATCGCGACAGGATGACACAAAAGACAAGCTTAATACTTTGATGCAGCAGAATCAGAAGTCCGAAACTTCGATGAAGCTCAAGCGGCTTGTGGAGCAGGCTGGTCGAGTTAGGGCTTGTTGGTTGTGGTTTCCACTTTGGGGCTTCGTTGGCGCTGTGTTTGTAAGCTTACACCACTGGCCAGGTCATGTTTGCTTGAAGTCTAGGTGCATGGCCCTGACCAGGGCTTGCAAGAACACCTCGCAGCTAATGCTGCAAGAGGCGTACAGACACTCCGAGAAAGGATTGCGGCGATGGTGCACTCTCAGATGTTCGAGTATGCAGCGGGATTCGTCATCCTCGCCAACCTAGTTGTCATCGGGATAGAGGCTCAGCTTTCGCTCGACATGGACTCGGAATTTCCGGACTTATCCTGGCCTTGGTGGATGGAGAGAATATTTCTGCTGACTTATTGCTCCTCGTCTCAGAAAACCCTTCCGCTTCGGAGAGATGTTTTGGAGCATTCTTCCAACAATGCCTTGCAGAGGGACTGCCTTAGCTTCCGCGCCGAGTGTGGGCTGGCCCTGCAACCGCCAACCTTCGCTAACGATGGACTTCTTTCACCGTCTGATTAAACATCAAGGGGCTTTTCTTCATTCTGAGGTCTGGAGATCTTTCTGAGAATCGTCGCTGGTGGTCGCGCTGTGTGTCGGGACACTCTGTAGTCGAGAAACCAGCTCTAAACATTGCTTCACATGTAATGTGATATGTCAGTGTGTTCTCAGTTCGCAGGACGTCTGGTTCCTAATGGATCTTGCCCTCGTCCTGGCCGGCTGGACGGCTCTCTTGTTCCTGCCGCTGGCAGGCGGGGCATGGACACTGACCGGAGCGCACACACACACACACACACACAGTGCGGTTGCTGTCTGCGTGGAATGGATGCCACGGTTCTAAGCAGATCCGGACGACTCGAGCAGGAATCCGTGCCTGAAGCTCTTGAGATTGGCACTGTTTGTCCGTCACGTCCTGGTTCGAGCACAACAAACCTTTCTCTCGTGCAATCGAGTCCTTGTCGGGTGCTCTTGCCACCATGTAATTATTGCGCTGTGTGTCGGCTGTCCGACTTTACTACCGTGTGGAAAGGCCATGAACATTTGGAACCTCCTGGATCCTTGTTGCCAGGTGTCGATGCGCTGGCCGCCGAAAAACTGCTGATCGTCCGCGGGCTTCGCCTGCTGCGTTTGGTGAGGGCTCTGCGAATGATCAACCACTTCAAGGCCTTGGACTCTTCAAGACGATATCTCTGGTCTGTTCACTTCCTTGATGCTTCGTAGCTGGCTTGGGACTGGGTTTGGATTCACTGAGCTCAGACTCTTAGTGCCGCGGGGGTGATCTGCAACCTTGAAATAGCCTAGGGTGAATGATCAGCGAAACATACGCCGCCAGCTCCCAACCCCCCAAGACCTGTGACGGAGAGACAAGAAGAAGAACAACAGCAGAAGCAGGGATCTCCTGCACAAACGTCACAGTCATCACCATCATTCTGTCGACATTGCTGCGTGAGGTAGTTTGGTCGAGTCTCACCGTCTGCATGCCAACACTCGAGACTTGAATCGACAGCAGTCCTGTTGTTGCTGTTGTTGTTCTTGTTGTTGCTGCCGTGGCCGTTGTCGTGGTCCGTCGTCGCCCTCCTCCTCCTCCTCCTCCACTTCCTCTTCCTCCTTCGCACTACTTGTATTCATCTATCGTCTATCATGATCATGGTCATACAAGTTTTCATGGTAATGACGATCCTTATCGAGATCTTTGAGACAGCCCATAGTCATTGTCACGAGTCATTGCGGTTGGCAGTGTGTGCTCTGGTCATGGTTTGGGCGCCAGTCGAAGCACGGCGGACCAAGATGCATCAATTCACATCCTCAAAGGCACATGTACAGGTATGTGTGCCATGTAACTGTGTCATACATGCACGCATCTCTTGGCTATTTACCTTCTCGGGGCTCTTTGGTGTGGTCCCGAATTCCTGCCAGCGAATTTGTGTATGCGTGTATAACCTTGGGATGCCAACTCAACGGCATATTGCATGCATCTCGAAGATGCTGGCCATGCCGCCTGCTTCGCAAGACCACCCTGCAACGACGGAAGAATGAAGTATGCGTGTATATGCCTAGAGTAAGTAAGTAAGCAAGTAAGTAAGTAAGTAAGTAAGTAAGTCAGTAAGTAAGTAAGTAAGTAAGTAAGTAGGTCAAGTATGTAAGTATGTAAGTACACGTGTGTATGTATGCACGCATGCTAACTCTCATGTGCTTATGCATGTGCGCATGTGTGTGCTTGTATGTATGTATGTATGTATGTATGTATGTATGTATGTATGTATGTCTGCATGCATGTAGGCAGGCAGGTACGTAGGTATGTATGTAGGTACGCATGTATGGTGTATGTATGTATGTATGTATGTATGTATGTATACATGTATGTATATATGTATGTATGTAGGTATGTATGTATGTATGTATGTATGTATGCATGTATGTGTCTTTCTGTGCGAGTTTGTCTGTGTGTGCATGTGTATGTCTAGTGTTTTGTGCGCAGGTTTGTTGTGCATCATGGATGGCTAGCTTCAGGTGATCTGGCGACTGGTTTATGGTCTCTTGACGGCCGGGCAGACAATCATTTCAACAACCGCGCTGATCTTGATCAGCTTATTTGTGTGTTCCTGCGTTGCGGTGGAGCTCATTGGCAAAGATCGCGATTTGCTGGAAGATTCAGTCACGGGCCCGATCGTGCAGACGTGCCCTGGCATGATTCACCACCGGCGACAGATCAAACAATTCATGCTCATAGCTTCTTTCTTTCCTCCCTGACCACGTCTGGAATCCAAGTTCCGTGTCATGCACAGAATCGGTTCACTTCTCTGCAAACGGATGTAGTCGTCAAAAGGCAATGGCATTGACACTCATTATCATCTTGTTGTTGTTATTTGTCTTGTTATTGTTGTTGTTGTTGTTGTTGTTGTTGTTGTTGCTGACGCGTGCCTTAATGACCATGGGGTTTTGGCAGGCTTTTGCGGGTTTTAGGTTTCCCTGGTTTGCGGGGTGGGGTGGGGTGGGAGGGGGGGAGGTTGGTTGTGGCGTCCACTTCGCCACTATCTCCATGAACATCATCAATACGCAGGCCATAATCATCATCATCGTCGTCATAGTCATCGTGCTTCGACACAAAACCTTGGAAATATTAGTACTTTCACATCATCGTCATCATCGTCATCATCGTCGTCATCGTCATCGTCGTCATCATCGTCATCGTCATCGTCATCATCATCATCATCATCATCATCATCGTCATCATCGCCATCATCGTGATCATCATGATCATCGTCATCCTCATCATCACCATCATCATTATCATCACCGTCATCACCGTTATAATCATCGCTTTGGCAGTATGTTCCGTCTCAATACTCCAAAGCAGCTGTCGACGGACCTTAGTCGGTTGGCAGACGCCAAGAACAAGAAGACATTGTGCAAAAAGAGGTCGGCTGCACAATTCGCGTTCGGAAGGATAGAAATCCCCCCACTGGGGCCAGTGTTTTCGCGCTTCGACACACAAAGGCCTGGTCAAACCTTGTCGTCACACGAGTGCGCACAAGCCCAGGTTTACCGTGTTTTGCAAATCTTACGCACCCATGGACCGTGCCAAAACCCCACGGTCATTAAGGCGCGCGTTGTCTTTTTGTGTGAACAAGAAGTGGTGATGGTGATAATGATGATGCTCATGATTATGATATGATGATGAGAATCAGCTTATTGATCGTGTTGTCTGTTCTGGTCAGGCCTTGTGGCTTCCAGGGTTCAGGCCTTTCAGGCTATTGTTCATGGATCACGTTCATGCTTAAGGATTTCGGGTTCGAGCCGCATGGAACCTAAACATATATATATATATATACATATGCACATGTTTACATCTATATAGAAGAGAGTACGACTTGTTTGGCTTTGAGCTCAGCCTGAGAGTGAAATATTGAGAGTATCCCCAACGGCGATGTTCTTTCCCATCGCTGAAAGCTGCAGTCTGCTGTTGGGACTGCCTGATGCCAGTTTGTTTTTGCATCACTGCGATGTTCAGTGTTACTTGAAGATGCCTTGATCTCAGGTATTTCCGTGGCATCGACAAGTCCCTCATAACGTTGATACAATTTGTTACCCTCGATTCCGTTGCCAGCATTTATTTCCCATTGCCACTCAGTTTCAATGCAGAAGCTTCAGCAAGAGGATTCGTTCACTTTGTCCATCAGTCAAGTCGGGGCTCTAGGAAGCCAGTCCAAAGCAGATCCTTCCACACGCGGAACACACTGACAGGATAATGCTGAAGCCATATCTCAGCGTGTTCTTCCTGGGTCTGATCGTAGTTATCTCCATCGGTCTCATGAACCTCGTGACGGCTGCTGTATTGGAGTACGGCTCTCGGACACAGTCGCACTACGTAGACTGATAGGTCGGCCATACGGCCATTCAGTTGCATGTCAGTCGCAAGGAATGCAATGCAAGCAGCTGTCCAAGATGCTGAAGCAGAGAAAAGTGCCATGCTAAACACTGTCAAGGACTGCTCTAGTGCACGTGTTAGTGCTTGTCAGCTCATGTTGGAGCACGTATGGTGTACACTTCTGCATGTCCCGATGGTCCGGATGCAGCCTGTATGACGCACAGGATGCCATTCCGGAGCTGTTGAAGATCTTTCAAAGTATCGACAAGGATCCTTGGCAGACTCCGTGGGCGACGTTTTGGAAAGCTATGGGTGAAGTGTAAGTAAATATGCAGCGCCAGCACTTGCTGCAGGCGATGTTTGTTTTCCGGCAAAGCAGGCTGCACGACAATGCTGCTGCTGCTGCTGGTTGCTGTCGCTGCTGGCTGCTGCTGCTCATGCTTGTGCTGCGCCTGCCACCATCGCCGTTTCCACTGCTCGTGACAGTTGCTTTTGCCGGCTGTAGGATGTCTGTGCAGCAGCCACAACAACACCAGCACAGCACACCAACGACCACGGCCACAGCAAAGCAGCAACAGCAACAACCACAGCAGCAGCACATGGTGGTGATGACAATGCGACTGATGAGGACGGAGATGGGGTTCTGCTCCTCGGGGCAGGTGGTGTTGGCACAGCTGGTGGTGCCGCCGGCCCTGCGCTGTTACTGCTCCACAAAGTGTCACTGCTGTTGAGAAAGTGACCGAGCAGGGTGTTCACGCGCGCCGTGAGTCATGACGGCAGAGGTCGAGCTAAACTTGAGAGTTGCCGTTCAAGACTGCCTGGATACTCAGGACAACAGCGGCATCTTGACGCACGATGAGGTTATGACTGTAGAAGTTGATATTCTGCCGAAGAAATTCCTCCAGACGGTGCATGTGAACAGCATGCTGGAGCTCTTTGACTACCTCGACGTCGCTGGGCTCATCTGGACTCAGATTGCGGACAGTCGAAGCGGTTGCAGAAGATATTTTCATTCACCAAGGTGGATCAAACTGGAGAGCGCTTTGGCCACATTTTGCTCACATTTCTGTGTTGCATGTCGGAGAGAGCTCGTGCTCTTGCACAAAGGTTGACGAGAGAGGAGTTTATCGAGGGTCTTCTTGATCTTTGCCTGCGAGACATGCCTTTGCACATGGTGCAAATGCTGAAGCTCCTCCACCTGATCTTGGGGATGTCAAAGAAGATTGACATACACCTTGAAGCCCTGCGCTCCCGGCAGCAAACTGTCGTTTTGCCATCCGCCATCTAGGTTTTGAATCAAGTTATCTGATGCCAGGCAGTAGTAGCTTGCCAGGCCCAGCTTGCAGCAACAGCTCAGCACTCTGTTTTAAAGAGGGGCCCTTTGCGTGAATATCTGCATCGCGAAAGTGATTGGCAGTCTAGCTCAGGGTGGCTCGTGCTGTCGTTCACCCTGCCTGAAACCAGGCTTCTACAGATCGGGCTCGCACCTGTGCAGGTTCGAAGCGCCACCGGACCATCGCTATCCAAAAAAACCACAGGGGCTCAGACACTTGAGGTCGGGTTCGATCTGGTGCAGCTTGAGCAGCTGCTTGTGATCTCGTCTTGTCGAACGCTGTCATCAGCAAAATGGAGGCAATACAGATACGAACAAGGCAAGAGCGATGCAGGGGACACGACGGCAGCGGTAGGCTTGACTTCTCTGGGAGAGCCGAGAGGGAAGATGCGTTTGACTCTGCAGCCTCGAGCTCTCCAACCTCAATGCATCGAGAATGTCCGAAGCTAGCTGATGTACAGTGCAACGTTACTACCGTATTAATACCTTACTACGGTCCACTGCAATACTGTTGGTGGTTTGCATCCAAGCTTCCAGCGGTAAGCGACTAGCGAGTTGCATGAATTTTGGTGCTCCCTTTCGCCATGCAGTTTTGCGGCGCCTGCTTCTGCACAGGCTCCAACGTCTCCTGCAGCCGATTGCGCATGTTGTGCAAGCTCTTGATTCTGAGGTTCGGCATTCGGCTCGTCGTCTGAGCTTCTGGACACTAAGCTGCCATGTGAGCTGCGGTTGAGTTGCCCGAACCGTGGTAACCCTGATGCAGAATCAAGTTAGTTCTTCCGTGAGTTCTTCCTTCAGGGCAGGCTGCCGCCAGCACGGCCGACTGCTTCAAGAGCACTTCCGGAGGCCTAGCCGTCTCAGTCTGTCCCTCGCGCAGGTGAGACATGTGTCCGAGGGTCGAAGATTGCCAGGCGAGCCCAGAGAGCCCAGTGAGCCGGGCGAACGGGATCTTATCGGTGCCTTTCAGGCCCAGAGACAAAGGCGAAGGGTAGGAAACTTTTTAGACTTTGCGGCACCTCCAGGCGCCGCTGGGGAGCGGTCGCCATTGCTGCAGCTTTGGCGGCCAAACGACGTGCCCGAGCTGCCAGCCCTGTGCTGTCCGTGGTGGCGACTCGCCACGAAGTGTTGTGCACCCAAATGCAGCCATACAGCCTTGCCACCGCAGTGGATTCCACAAAGCCCGCTTTTGAGTGATCAGGAGAAATCGCCGCTGGACAACCGAGCCGTGGCACTCAATACGTGTGTCGCTGTTCAGTTGTCTCATGGGTAGCCTTCGTCTGGAAATAACGGTAGGCGGCAAGACGAAAGCATGATACAGCACGCTCACAACATCGGCACTACAAGTGGCAGTCGCTGTGGATCGGATCGGCATTTCAGAACATGCAAAGGCGAGTACAAGCCCATCACGTTGCGCAACGGGCTGCGTGTGCTTCTCTGCTCCGACCGAGCTGCCGACCGTGCGGCCGCAGCTCTTGATGTTCATGTTGGCCTGTCCGTGTCCAAACTACCGGTGCTGCCAGTGGGTTGTGATTTTTTTCCGGCGATTCAAGCCTGCTTTCCCTGCAGGATACTTCAATGATCCGCCAGAAGTACAAGGTTTAGCCCACTTCTGTGAGCACATGCTCTTTCTTGGTACGGAGCAATTCCCAGAAGAGAGCAGCGCCTTGGTCTTTAAGCGAACCCTGTGCCGAAGACTTATAATATAGGGGCCTTAATAAATGGGCTCCTTATTTATTATATGATTATAGTATAATATACCCCAAGATCCTATTCTGAGTCAGCTGCTGCTCCTGGTCCTGTTATCTCTCTGAGCTCTTGAGACGAGGTTTCGACGCTTATTTGACTGCGAACAGCGGTTTCTCTAACGCCTTCACGGAGGCCGAGGACACTCATGGCTGGACCAGAGGGCCTTCAACAAAGTCAATGGGTAGTTCTCTAAATCAGGGTCCCTTTTTAGGTCCCCAATGTAGTACGGCACCCTGACAAAAGTAGCCCTAAAAGGGACCCTAATTCAGGGAACTACCCCAATACAGATTTGTTAGATCTCATTAGTGTGTTGTGCCGTGGCCTTGGGGAAGTCAAGATCTGCTTGCCTGCAGGACACATGCTTCTTTTTCAGCTGCAGCACTGCCGGCCTTCGGTCCGCTCTGGAGCGCTTTGGAACATTCTTTCAGAAGCCTCTCTTTACGGCCAGCGCGACCGAGAGAGAGGTGCCGAGGGTGGCGTCAGACCTCCCTTTGGCTTGACAAGTGGGGCTGCAGTTCGCCAGCAGGTCAACGCTATCAACAGCGAGCACTTGAAAAATGTGTGGGCCCCTTAGGACCATGAACCTCTGCGGTAGCTCATGTTCCAAGAGCCTTCTTTCACAAGTCTTCAGCAGTGGGCAGAGCCGTTGGTTTCCCCATGTCGGTTGCATGAGTCAATAAAGAGCGAGTTGCACTGCAAGCGGCTGTAGTGAAACGAGGCCGAACGATGTTTTTCGCATGGGACAGGCGCGGGGCTTTCTGATCAGTGCTCTGGTCCGAACTGCTAGAGTCCTAGAGGGGTTGGCATCGCGTTGAGACGGCAACCCCGAGCTTTGTCCTGTGGTGCCATGCTCGAGTGGCAGACATTCCCGTGCGAGAGGTCCTAAACAATCGGGCCAATCCTGCGCACCCATATCACCGATTTGGGCTGCCTGGATTCAAAGTGCCAGTGCTTCACTGAGGGGTTCGAGCATGGTGGTCTGCTTTCTACTGCAGTGTGCATGGAACCTGCCCGGTCTGCACTGGTGGCTGATCATGTCTTGTATGGCAGACTCTGTGCTGCCGTGCTTGTGCAGTGGTGATAGCATTAGCGTGTGTACGTCGAATAAGAGCGACTCAGTACCTGTCTGCCCATCGCGGGTTTTTTTTAAAACTGAATTTGGAGAAGCACCAGTTTCGAGAGGGTAAGCACTTGCCGATTGCCGTGTGCACTGCTCCTTGCGCCACACGAGGTGGGAGTTGCCATGATGTAAGCCCGCGCAGACGTCTACTTCTTAGTCTCAGTCAGCCTCTGCCGGCAGGACAGGCAACATCAAGACTTTGCTGGAAGACACGGCCGCTGAAGGCCTGCTGACGTGATCGCTCAAGTTACCTGTGCGTTCAACCGCTATGAAAAGCTTTTGGGGTCATGATTTAATCCTGCAAAGGTAAAGTATGTCCGTCAAAGAGCACAATGAACATTCTGCGCATGCAGTTTCGGGAACCCTGCAGCCTCTGCCATTGAGCAGCATGCTGGCATCAGTCTTGCTCGACTGCCGAGCTAATGTGAGCGCCGCTGCCTGACAAAGGAGTTGACCTCCGAGGCGAACTCCTGCGCTACTATCGCCGCGGCTCTCCGCGTTGAGGTGGCAACATGATCGAGAAATGCTCCCGCAACGCCATCCCAGGCTTCTACAGAGCTCCGCTCATGACGTTGTGTATCCTCGGCGACGAATCCCCAGACGTGCTCGGAAGCCTCTTGAGCTTCGAAGACCAATGCTGACTGGCATGCACATGCAAATCACACAGATTGGGCAAGCAGACAGTGAAGAGTCCATGCCCTGTTCGAGCTTGCTTTTGTGCGCATGCACCCATGGTGTCCCGCTCTTTCGTAAGATCGGCAGGCAGGCAGGCACAGACAAACACCCATCCAAATCCACACTGGCACTCGGACAACACACCACTATCAAGGATATGCCGAACAGTACTTTGGGGGAATTCCTGGTCTTGCTGAAGGTGGGGCCGTGTTGTCAGCAGTGAGGATGCTTGTGCATGTAGCGTAGCTTCTGTTCTGGGTGTCAAAGATTGGCCGACATCTCGGGCACAGAGTCGGGCCGAGAAACCTGGCTACAGGTGAGATACTTGATCCTCCGGCAGCCTATGAAGACCAGCCGCCTTTCTTGCCGGAAGCTTTCGAACAAGGCCGGCCATGCCAAAGCTAGGCATGTTTTCTGGGCTCGGGAGGAAGCAGCAGGAACTGTGTGCAGACCGATCGTGGGCCTGTGTGAGCAAAGACATCTTACAGTTCCTGAGACTCCCGCAGCCACAGGAGCGAGACTGTCGCAGCTAACCAAGCAAAAGCAAGGGGATCACAGGAGCCGGCTCATAGGCTCAGAGGCTTAGACCAAGGTGTGGAAGGTGTAGCCTTGCAGCCTGGACTTCTCTGAGAGGTGGAGTGCTCACGCCTTGTAGCAGGCATCGAAGCTGTCCCCATCGCCGATGCTCGCGAGCTGCAGGCGATCGCAAGAGCTGACGGACTAGAGTCACGAAACCGGTGATTCGTGCAGTTACTGTACCTCAAAACGGATTGGCGCGGCATCCTGTCTCAGGTAGTGTTCCCGGTGCCGTTTGCACCGGGCAACACCCGCAGAGTCGAAGCAGAAGAAGCACCGCCTGCTCCGACGCGCGGTAGTCTTTTGGCCGACCAGTTTTGTCCGATGTTACAGTCCTCTCGAGTCCTGTTTGGGATGTCTACCCATTCCGCCACTTTACTGGAGTATGCGAGAGTTCACTCGAAGGCATGTCTGTCGAGAGCTGGCGGTGGTACAATCCCGCCTCTCATGCCGCTAGGCATGCATTTCGTGATGTGGAGAAGCAGTTTGGAGCTGCTTCGGAGGGTGGTGTCAGTGGAGTCTACAACCTGCTGCTTGCTTCTTTGCACGACCTGGTTTGGTGGATGCCTGTAAATGTAAAGTAGGCCGATCTCGATCTTGCCTGCGCCTAGAATTATAGAAAGGACTAGACACAGTGCTGGAGGGCGCTGCAACGAACTTGTTTTCTTGGCACCTGCAGGTCGGATCCGTGCTTGGTCACGAGGGTCCGCACAGCCTTTGCGCGCTCCTGCGGCGAAGAGGCCAGAATACGTCCTGCACCTGCGTTCGTTGTATCAAGTGTGTGCAGCTAGGTTCATGACTGTCGCCGCTTCTACACGAGGCTGGATCACAGAGCTCGATGTGAGTGGTTCCGACGAGACTAGCACTTTCGCAGTACTGTGCTACGGCAGCATCAAGAAAAACTGTTCAGAAGCTGATCCAACTGGACACGGGAATTGTTGCCTGAGGGTGGTCTCGATGGAGCTTACGGAGGAAGGCTTAGAGCACAAGGCGATCTGTTTGGGAGCTTCTGTTTGCTAAGATGCGCGGCGAAAACTAGGACATGTGAAGGCATTCTCAGGCTAGATATGCTGGTGGAAGTGGAAGTCTTTTGCGCCTTTCCATGGTTCATTGGCTTGTCAGCCTTGCCGATCCAGGACGAGATTCTAGAGCTGCTCTTTGGCTACCTGAACTTTCTACGGAACCTGCCGGCGTGGCCACAGGATGTCGGCCCGCACATGTCAGTGGAACGTGTTTGCGTGCACGGGCTTGGGGTGAGGTGGGGGGGCGGGGGGTGGGGGCGACAGTCCACTGAAGGACAGGAACGTGACTACCAGCAACCAAGTGCATCTTAGTGCCATCAGTTGTTGATGCCAATCTAGCCCGGAGGAGCTCCTATCCGAGAATTTGCGGCTCTCCGATGCTGCTTGGGCGAGCCGTGAGACGGATGGCCCCATGAATGCTACTGTGGAGCTGGCGGGCAACATGCAGGCTTCTGGCAGTGACAGCTGCTGTGTAGAATTCCGTTTTGCGGGAGCCACGGAGGCTTGGGCCTTTCCGCGAGACTATGTTCGGGGCAACAACCGGCTTCGCAATGGCCAAGGTCTGTCAGGTGCCAATTGGTAAGGTAGGTACATTCGTCTATGTTGTCTGTTTCATGTGGAAGCTGGCATGTCAACATCTGCACGAAAGCCTGCAGCGCTCCATGAGTTGTCTGTGAGAGTCGTTAGGCACCGTGGACGCTTTGCTGCAATACCTGCGGCCGGACAATGCGATCATCACGGCGACTCGACTTCCAGCTGCATCCACTGCAAGGCAGCATGCGTCTGCGATCGTCTGAAAGCCACCCACGTGTCAGAAATCATGCTTGCTACTCATACACTGTGCTGAACTATAGGAATTATGCTTATTGTATGATGGTGCAGAGTGTTGATTGTGCATTGCTGAGGCAGTGTCTCGAAAATTCGAGGATGCAGGAAATGCCGTGGAGCCATGGCATATGGCTCAGCTTGTCCCAGATGTGCAGATTGACGATGCTGCAATGTTAGGTCCGGTCGGCTGTTTGAATTTGTGTGCTGTCGCGACATCAAAGCGATGTAGTTGCGAAGAAGATCGAAGAAGCATCGCGAGCAGCTGCTTTTGGGATCTTGACTACTAGGACTCTCATCACTCGAAATGAATGCCCATGAGTGACTGGACGTGTCGCTGGACAGCCGAGTGCGGCTGCATACAGGTATGGCACCCGGTTTCGGATGCGTCCGCTAGCACAGCAGCCGCGCTGGCTGCGAGTTCCTGCAGCGCCAGGCTTAGGTCAGACATGTCTCGTGTACACGCTGCGGTTGCCACTGATCGGTTTCTTGTCAAGATGCATTCACAGGGGTCGGTGTCACATGGGGTGACATGACTTACACAGCTAAGAACAGCCTTTGAAGCCTTCAGAGATTGGAGGCCTGCCAGATCCGAATCCCTTCTTGCCGCGCAACCTCGAGCTCAAGGTCAGCTTCTGCAACGAAGTTTGCATAAACAATTGCCGGCACTCACTTCACCGTCAATGCAAAGCCGATATGTCAGAGGCGCTCAAGTCGAAGCCATCTTCCAAGAATGCGATCGTATTGCCCGAGAGCAAGATCGAGAAAGTCTGGGAGGCTTTCTTTACGCCCCTCGGCCCAGGCATGCAGCTCATGGATCTGAAGGGCCTGGATGCAGGCAGCACGAAGTAACATAGACTGCAGAAGGTCAGGACGTCACCCAGTCGAACTGCATATAAACTTTCTGACGGAAGGCCTGTGCTGCATCCAGGAATTGAGATGAAGGGTCCTTCAAGAACGCCCTTTCTTCCAAGGCTTCGAGTCTCACACAAGTGTTTTGTAAAGAGCCCAGATACTAGCATACCTGCGTGCACGAAAGCGACCTGAACGCCGGGCGGAGTAGCATCCTGTAGCGGCGAGCCGGGGTACCCGACATGTGCCGTTGGCTTTGAGGCAAGACACCGAGCCGCTTCTCTCGATTGGGTCCAGCTCATCGCAGTGATTCAGAAGGGGGCTTGCAGATACGCACGTCACTCGCGAGCGAATCGACCTGATCTCTTCCTTTCTGTAGCATCTTTTTCCTGTATGCACATCCTGGCAGTTCTTGCTGCTTCACATTCCGGCTTGAGCAAGGTATGGCGTACCCAAAGCCTTTGCCTTCATCGAGCTGCGGACAAAGCTTCCGCGGAGCAACTCGATCGGCACGCTTGCAAGGGGACATGGCTCTCATTCTCAGCAAGCGCTCACCCTGTGCCTTTGCTCACTGAGGCAGCGCTCGCGCTGCAGTTTGTGCACGAATCTACGAATCCATGTTTCGACAAGCGTTGCAGGAGAGCTGAGAAAGGGATTCCTTTGCTAGCCAGCGGGTAAGTTTACATCCTACTGGTGTGGCATCAGGAAACCCTGCTTTATGATGCGGAGGTGGCAGGCGTCGGAATAGCCACAGCCCAATCTCTACAGACTTGCCCGTTGTGCAGCTGTCCGATGTGTTCGGGCTGGCGTGTGGCTGTTTGCTCGTCAGGGCTTACCTTCGCCTTCAGCACCTCCATGCGTGGAGTCGAGGATCGGAAAGAGGGGGCAAGCAGAGTTAGTCGACCGACTTGGCTTGGCTGTGCTTTGCTTTGGATCCGCTCAGCTCTTCTTCGGCGGCTTCGACGATCGCCTTTCAGACTTTGCATCGACAGCGCTGGGAGAGCTCCTGGCCTTCGATGTGGCGAAGAACGCACAAGGCTGAGGGGCTGCGACCGTTCGCGTGGGTAAGACTGCAAGCGTATTCAGCTTCTCCCCCGACTGCTATCCTGTCTTCCGCCCGGAATGACAGGCTTCCGCGCACAGGCAGACCTGCTACAAAGAGAGCTGGAGTCTGTCGACACGCAGGCTATGGACTAAATGAGGTTCACGACACGTTGGAGTGAGACATCTTAATCGGCAGCACTCTGGGGCAGGAGCCATTCAGGCAAGCCTCCTATTGGTCAGGCCGGCAGACTGTTGTCGCAGTCTCCCTGTGCCCTGCCAAGAGTTCCAAACGCGCCGTGCAAAACAGGTTTGGCAACTCTTGTGGACGAAATCTCATTCAAGGCCATAGAGTCGTTGGGCCTAGTGTGGAAGATGCTGTCGTCTTCCAGCCTATGCCCTGTCATGGTGCCAGGAGCTTCAAGCAGCGCTGGTCGGGCTGAGGGCTTCGGACGTGGCGACCTTTGCATCGGCACTTTGGGCATCTCCTGTGGTGGGCCTCTCGCTCTGCGAGGGCAATTTACGCCGAGATGAGGCCGAGCCTTGCCAGCCTCAGCTTTCTAGGGCTCTTTCAGGGATCCATGGCGAACTGGCCGGATTGCCCGGCTTCGGGTGCTGGAGAACCGTGCAGAGACCAACGGAAGAAACAATAAGAACCACATAAAGCTGAGGCGCGTGTGCGGTTTCCAGTTGAGAGCGATGTGATATTGTGCCCACGCTGCAGAACCGTGAAAACATGCATCGGATCCACGACTAGATGCAGCCTTTGCCGGCTCTGGTCACAGTTCGGTTACTCTCGGTACGGCCATCATCTGGTGAATCTCAGGACAGCTTGATCTCGAACGTGAGGAACCTGCTAAAGTCCGAGAACTTTGTCGCCGCACCCGAATCTGACCCTCGACAGAAAGTTGTGTGACACCGTGGAGCAGGGTGGACCTTAATCTTGCACGGTATACCTGGCTTGAAAACTGTCGGGGCTCCGATTCCAAGAGACAATCGTCAAGTGTCTGTCGTGGCTTGAATTGAGAGTGCCCTCTTGTTCGCTTTGCCGAGGAGTGGCCAGTGCCGCGTGTGGCCAAAGTGCCTGTGAACAGCTTTGGCCAGGGAAGCTTGCCAGCAACGAACCCGCCAAGATGCCAAGAACCCCGACCCCTTCTACAAAGGCGCTTGCGGCCATAAGACAAACCTATGCAAGCTGTTCGTGGTCCGAGGCGTGGTCCTGCTTCACCAGATCACTGACTCCACCGAGGATACCGGCAATCAAGCGACCGCAGCCAATTTTGCGCACTATCCTGGGCCGTGTTGCGAGGAGAACTCTGCCGTGGAGTTGAGCTTTCAAGCTGGTCGACTGAGCGGCAACTAGCATCTCATGTTGACGGTCAAGACGGGGGTTGAAGCCCTCCGAGGCAGCACTCGAAGCGGTTCTGCTGAAGACTTGAAGCGGCTGTCCGAGCTGCAGGCAGGGGAAAAGAGACGAGTTGCAAGGTTGAAGCGGAAAATGCTTCCATAAGCCGCTGCAGGATTTCGGAAGCTTTCAGGCTTTCAGGTGGTCAGTGCTTCGGATGACCACGCTTGAGGATGTACGGTCGTACAGCGGATGGGCGATGCAGTGGTCTTGAAATTCAGCAGGTCCTCTCAGCAATCCTCAGCGACGAGCACCTTGGAGCCGAGGAAAAAGCCGATTAGAGCAAACCCACACCGACACGAAGTTCCCAGTAACTCGAGTGGTGACTATCCTAGGTTCTATGAGGAACTGCGTGCGCGTCAGCAGCTGGGCTACGTCGTCAGCTGCCGTTTGGACCGGCAAGGGGTGGAGTGAGATTTCGCGAGTGTAAGTTGGAGGAAGCAGCAGTCAGGCAACTGTGATCTGCAGCCACGCTTTGTGCTTTTGGAGGACCGGGGAGAAGGGGCCTTCAGCTGCTTGTCTGCAGCCGAAACTCCCAAACAGAGCCTCGTGTCCGTTGTTGGATCCAAGGACTCGTCTTCCTGGTGCAAGGAGCCGTGTTGGGCCCCATGCAGGCAGACCGCAGACCCCACCCGGCGATTGCAAGCTTTCTTACCTCTGCAGTGGCAGGTTCTCGATAGGATGGACGCCTTCATCAAAAGTGGGATGAGCCTGATCGACGCGTGAAGCCTAAATTGGGTGCTCAAGTAAGTCCTCAGGTCGGAAAGTGAAGCCCTGCGGCCCTGCTCGCGCCCAGGCAAAGTCAGAGCAGGACATAGCGGCGCTGGCTGACTCGCTGGCCCAGGACATGAGAAGTCTTTCTGAACAGAGAGCCGGGACAAATTCCGCTGAGATCGAATGATCCGAATGAGTTCGTTCAGCTTCCTTGATGCCGACAAATTAACGCGTTGCGCTGTGCCAGGCCCGGCTGGTCCGACCGCAGCAACTCCTCGAAGCCAGCCAGCGGCGATGGATCGAGATCTGCAGTGCCCGGGCTTGGAAACCTCCCTCGCCTGCAACCTTTTTTTTTAGCCTCGAGCAGCTGCTGTGCCCCCTTGCAGGTCGGTCCTTCCTCTGGCAGCGTCGGCTGGAGGAGCAGAGACGACGGACAGCCTTTCAGCCTTGCCAGCGTCGTGGAGCGACTGCGGAAATTGCTGAGTGTCGTCCGGTGCTGCATTGGGTGCGTCCTCCCTCTCCCAATTTCTTGCGGCATCGCCGCGAGGGCAATGTGGTAGCTGCGTGTGCCGGAGCTTCAGGAGGCGCTGGCCCTGAAAGCCGTGTCCAAAGAAGCTGTCGTAGAGGCGGGCCCTGCATGAAGCCGCCGGAAGAATGAGACCAGTCAGATCCAAACATATTATAGCGGATAAAAATATGTTTCTCCCCTATAATATGTTAAGTCTTTGGTCCCTTTTGGGACCTTCTTGAAAATCTCTTGCCTAAGGTTCAGGGTTTAATGTAGGGGCCTTAATGTAGGAACCTGATTAAGAAACCTTGGGTCTTTCTTAGGGCCTAAACCCTAAACCCTAAACCCTAGACCTAAACCCTAACCCTAAACCCTAATCATCTCTTGCCCAAGGCCTTTCAGCGTTGGCTGGCGCCTGGCGGATCCGAGCGGCGACGTCTGGTCTCAATTTGTGGTCCTGCCAAAGCGTTGCTTAGACAAAGAAGTGGCCACATATATAAGAGTATAATATAATATAATATAATAAAATATAACATAAATATAAATATAGATATAAAGAGAGAGAGAGAGAGAGAGAGATATATATATATATATATATGTATATATATATATATATACATATACTATGTACTAAAATTTGCGTTGGGGGCAGCATCTCAGGCTCCCCACCGCTGACCAGCTGGAGAGCAAGGGTGCTCAGGCCCACAAAGTATTATCATAGAGTGACGAGTGTATACTATGCAGACATCATGCGGGCAGCATGTTCAGCCATACCCGCATACCATTCGATGCAGATGAGCCAGATCCAAAATTTCGGATCTCTCGCTTGTGACCCGGGAGTGTGAGCCTGGTCTGGTGAAGTTGCGCCCAACAGAATTGCATGCAGTACAGTAGCCGTTTGATCAACGGAAAACTCTGTAGTCAGCTCTTGCGCGAGCCGAGCTAGCTTCGCCACTGGAGGTCATCAAAGATCCCCAAAGCTTCGCGCGGCAGCACCCTGGAAATCACGCATTTATACTTTGTACTGCGTAGGGTGGTGTTCAATCGCACTGGGGTGCTTCCTCACTTCTCGGTTTCTGGTCAGTGCATCGTAAACTCGCCCTTCGATCCTCCGACTCAAGTGCAGGTCGCCGGTGCTGCATTGCTTTATGCGGAACATGTGTGCAACAAAGGCTTTGTACGGTGCTTCCGCCTGTGACAAGCCAGTTTTGCAAAATACTTTGCTAGCTGTTAGCACGGTGATATGTATGACGTAGGTGGTAGTAGCTGGTGGTTCTGGCGCTGGCGCTGGTGCTGGTGCTGGTGCTGGTGCTGGTGCTGGTGCTGCGTGTGCTGCTGCTGCTGCTGCTGCTGCTGCTGCTGCTGCTGCCGCTGCTGCTGCTGGCCTGTGACTCTACTTGGCGGTTGGTACCACGGATGTGCCTGTGGCTGTTGACGATTGTTGATGTTGATGATGTTGCTGATTCCAGGCAGTCGCAATGGCCGGCCCTGCCTGTGCGCAGCAAAGCATGAGAGTGGAGCGCCCTGCAAAAAGAAGCTCAACCAAGCCACTGGCCTAGTACTGCTGCTGGTCGCCTCAATCTCGCGGGGGCGGGGTGGGGGGGGGCAATGTGTTCACTAGCTGTCGTAGAAGTGAAACTCGATTGATGTTGCTGTGCATCATGCGACTTTGCATCTGCTGCCATGCCAGCGTTGGTAGAGCCACTGGTACACCGCGGCGCAGAAGCTGAAAGGAATGGCGCGGCTGGCGCGGGTGCCCCCCGCAATGCTTTGGACAGCTAGAGAGGTCAAACTCACTGCATCACGACAAAAATTTCATGTGTGTGCAAACAGAGGATACTTTTCGATGCAATGCAACTGTGCGGAGAGCAGTGTTGTCTTTGCAGCCACCTCCGGCACACAGCGAACACCGCACAAGATGCTTGCACTCAGCATTCCAACGTCTTCCAATCAATCAGCTGTAAACAAACAGCGTGGGCAAGAGAGCCGGCACATTGCGACCTTGCATGCGTGCCAGGCCCCGCTGCTACTTCTTGCTGCCCTGGTCTACGCCGGGGAGCCAGCAGCACCGGTTCAGTAAGGGACCTTCGGCGCTCGTAGGGCCGTAGGGGTTTTCCAGTGCATGCTTTGCATGCGTTATTTTGAGGGATGCTAGCTCGAACACCAACTAGCACTGGTTGTCAGGCTTTTCTGTTGCCGGTTCCCGTGCCTCGTAAGCACTGCTGGACCAAGAACACCTCGGAGGTAGGAAGAAATAACGCCACGCAACTGCTGCAGCATTTTTCAACGAACCCCTGTTGGCATCATGGCTGCCCTCTGCTAACGGTTTTTGGTAGTACCCACCCGGTGGAGTGCTTCGGACAATGAAATGCACGGCCAGCTTCAGCTGGTCCGACCTCAGCAGCGTACGCAGGCATGAAAGTGTGCTTCTCCGCAGATTTTGTGTGGCTCAGACTCCGTAGGGGAAGACGGGAAGACGAGGCCCCAACGAAAATGTCTGGGCTTCCACCAGGCACCTGATGTGATGCTCTGTGGTGGTGTTTCTGTGTTTGAGTCTGAGCTCTGTCCCTGCAGTCTAGTATTTCCTAGAACCAGCCTGCGCCAGTCTGCAGTCTGGCCCATGAGTCAGAGAGCCCAAGCCCGGCACAGGATGGGCTGAGCACGTTGACCCCAATACTGGCAATCCGCAGCCTGGCTGCAAGAGCTTCGCTGGATCGTGCCGTATGCAGGCTCCTTTACACCTGAGCCAGGTATTACCACAATACCTCCACCGGCGAGGCTCTGGGACCGGGTCATGGCAGATTGGAATGCAGAGGAAGCCGTCAGCATCCCTTCTCCTTTCGGGGCAGGTCACCTGGACAAAGCCCGGCGCTGATGGTGCCGCCGCGCAGCCGGCACAGGAGAGGGTTTCCAGCGAAGATTCAAGGTTCCTTCGGGTGTGGATTGGGTCTATTCACGGTGCTTGGCGGCTTCGCCTCCTGAAGGCTTCATCTGACGGCTTCCCGGATCCGATGCCGTTAGCAGAAGCAGGATCGGTAGTGTGTCGCAACTCTGATATCGCCGCAGGCTCAGCAGAGCGCAGGCCTCTTGGCAGCACCTGTGTTACAGTTGTTGTTTACGCACATGGGGGGGATAACTGCGCCTACTTTTTGCCTTGCTACTGCCACTGCTGGGGCTGGGGGGGGAGGGGGGGGAGGATAATAACGTTCTTTGTTTAACCTTCTTGGTTTCAGGAGGGGGGAAGGGTGGGGATAATAACGTTCTTTGTTTAACGGGATTCATGCTTCCTTGGCATGGATGAATACTATCGTGTCATGCCATATCAGCATGGCATGTGATTTTTACCCATCTCCACATTATTACTCATGCACAGCACTAGTTAAATCCTTGTGAAAGCATAGGCAAATTCCTATTGGTTGACAACGACTCTTCCATAATCCTGCCCAAAACCGCATCGGATCAACTTCGTCGCATGTGCCTATCGCAGTTAACTGCATCGGATGAACTTGCTCAGAGGAGAAATACTCATCCCAGAGGAATAGACAGTAAACGTGTTTGCAATCTTAGACTATGTCATGTGAGGAGATATCACACATGATGTATCATGTGTTGCTATCCTGTAGCATGTCCTTTTCTGTTTTCTTACACTCATTCCCTGTCTCAAATTCTTCTCTTTTACATCATGTCATGTCACACGACGACTTTTTCAGTACATCCTCAGTCCCTTGTTGAACCCTGTGTCGCGTGACAGGCGTGGTACTTTGTGTATGTTTCCAACTGATACTTGCACTTTACAACATACCGCATCCAAGCCTCCAAAGGCCGAAACAGCGACTAGCGTTGCCAAAACTCGAGTTTTAAGCACTTCCCAACTGTAAAAAGCAAAAAACATAGGGTTAACAAATACAGCCCGAAGCTTGTTTCATGTGGCAGGCGCGGTAGAACCCAACTTAATGCGTCTTTCCAAAGGCGCAATAATCCCCCCATGGGGTTGTTTACGGTGATGCGCAATATGAAGCGAGAAGTGCACCGTCGCTGTAGCTAGAAGCGGCAGCATCACCACCATCATCGTCTTCATCCCGTGCGTGCTGACTCCCCAAGCAAGGCCTAGACGGTGGAGGTGGGGGAATGCAGAATGGTGCAGACCCTAGCGGCCTCAACCTCAGTGCAGACCTATGAATCCTGGATCAACGATCGACGGTTTCATGTTCGGCAGTCTAGATGCCCTCAGCCGACATGACTGTCGAAAGCTCTCTCCGTGCTGAAGGTATGGGCGGAATGGCCGGTGGCATGGGCATGGGCCAGATGGGCATGGGGCAGCCACAGATGGGCTCCTTTGCGGAAGTTGTTTCCGAAGCTGAAGTCTCCTCGCTTCCCGCGCTTGTCGCATACTGTTTTGCACTGTGGTTTCCGAGGCCAAGGCATGGGTGGAATGGGCCAGATGGGTGGAATGGGTCAGCCAATGGGCCAGATGGGCGGAATGGGCATGGGGCAGATGCAACAGCCAATGGGTGGTTGCATGGGAGGTCAGATGGGCATGGGAGGGATGGGTGGAGGAGGATGCATGGGCATGGATGGCATGGGAGGTCAGATGGGTATGGGAGGGATGGGTGGCATGGGTGCAATGGGTATGGGCATGGGTGGCGGCATGGATGGCGGCCTGCAGACCGGCACCGTCAAGTCGTGGAATGATGAGAAGGGCTTCGGCTTCATCATACCGAACCTAGGCTGCACTGAGGAAGAGTGATTCAGGAGATCACCCTCCCTGATTTCGTGGTCCACTGGGCACTGCCCCATCCCTGTTTCTTTGTGCCAAGGAACGGCGGAGGCGATGATATCTTCGTCCACAGAAGTGCGCTGACAGATGGCGGTATGCTGCTACAAGGCGCCCAGGTCCAGTTCGAGGTGACATGGAATGCTCAGAAGGGCAGCTTGGCTCAAGATGCGCTTTTCGTGTCCTGCACCTCAGCCACAAAGCTGCACAAGGCAAGAGCCAAGCGTCCAGAGTGACCGGCGCAGTGCCCCAACAGAAGGCCTGGAGCTTTGGGCAATTTGGGCCTACGGCTTACTGTCTGTTTTTGTTGTTCTGCAGATAGTCCGACAGACGGAAGAAGCACAGCGCCAGAGATGAGACAGCAGCTTATCACCCCCAGAGCATCTTGTTGCAGGGTGGTGGCAAAGGCGGCGACAGCTTTGGTGGCGGTGGTGGTGGCAAGGCCCGGCAAGTGCTCTGTGAATACTCAGGCAAAGATGTCGCACGAAGGATGCTTGTGTAAACATGCGCAGCTCGCGCTTTCTGTGTCAGGGTGGTGGTGGCGGCCAGCCCGGAAGCTTGGCATTCAAAGGTGCAGGGCACACAGCACGCAGCCGAAACAATTCAGTTAATCCACGTTCGTGTCCGGCTATCTTCAACCCATTTGCGGCTATCACGCCGAAAGTCTGTTCACCTGCCTCCGTGAGTAGTTATCTGCATGTAATGCTCCACCTAGCACAGACCAGCAAGCCAGTAGGCTGTGGTTTTTCGTCCGCGAATAGGCATGAAAAGCCTAGTGTTGAACTTGCAAATGCCTCCCTCAGGACTCGCCGGACCCACCATGCAATCGACTGGCATAGTCAAGGCTTGGCACCCTCTGGAGCCGGTCCGTGCAGCATCTCCAAGGCCAATCTCGCCCGCCAGGTGTGGTTCGAAGAAAAAGGCTTCGGCTTCGTCAGCCCCGAGGGAGGCGGCGACGATTGTTACGTTCACAGGACTGCCCTGCTGCCCTCGAAGGGGTCTTATCCTCAGCTCAGGAGGAGATCCTAGCAGCTCGCAGGACGGCCCTCTCCGACGGCCAGACCCTGATCCAGAACTCGACGGTGCAGTACACTGCCCAGGGCTCAGGTCAAATTGAAAGCAATCTTCAACTAAGACAAGGGAGGAGCCTCAGCACAAGTCTAGCAGCAATCTGCAAGCCAAAAGCAGGGCATATGAGCATGTGACGTGACTCTTCCAAGCCGGGGCGAGGCACAGTGGAATGCCACAAAGCAGAAGTACACAGTGCGAAGCCCAGCCATGCTGCGTGATTTTGAACTGTCCCGGTGAAATGCTCCCGTGCGAGTCTTCAATTGACGCACGAAGTTCCTTTGTTGAGATGCCCAGGCCACTAGCGACTCTTGGCCGCATCTCAATGCTGTGCTGAAGCACGTGCGATGCATCCCGTGCCCACTGGTCTAGATGCTTTCCTTCGATCTGTTGCCTGTTGGGTTCTGGTTGGTGCGACAGACCGAAGCGGATGCATGAAATAAACGAGCGAAATGCGGTATGACTTAGAGACTATCCCACTTGCTTCTTGCTTCTTGGAGCTCTACCACTTGGTTTTATTATCGTTACGTGCAGCAAGTTTCTTGTGTGTTTAATTGGCTCTTTGTTAGTCTCATGGGTTGGAGTTTGGGCGGCTCGCACACACGATGACACGTTCTGAGCGATGATCGGGAGACTCGTGCAGGAAGCTCCCGCACATGCCCCGAAGGTCACCGGAGCAGCGCCCACCGGTGGAAAGGGCGCGGCGCCGCAGGGCGGTGCTTGGGGAGGTGGGCTTTGGCAACGAGAAAAGTGGTCATTTCGGCCCGGCCCCAGCCCGGGATGCTGGTTGCGCAGGAGATGGCTATGGCAAAGCTCCGGACATGGGTCCGGGAGGTTTCCGCCTCACGCTCAGCTGGAAGGCAAAAGCCAAGGAAGCTCACGAGGTCGACATGCTATCACTTTAACGAAAGGTCAAGCACATGGCATGTACCGGCATCTGGTGCCGCACGGTGACCAAACGCAAGGTGCAGAGCCCTACCCTGCTGGCGGCTGCGATGGTGGCTGCGGGCCACGACCCCAGCCAGGTATGGATTTCGGGTACCGGTAGTGCTGAAGCTGATGGGTTGTTTCACCTTGTTTGAGGTGCACAGTGGCTTGCAGTAACCAGGCGAAAGTTACAGAAGGCACCTATCAGGAATGAGGACAACCAGAAGATTGTAAATGTTTGCTTCGGTAGGATGTGATTCAGAAGACTTGTGAAGCCCTCT